ATATATATATTATATTATATTAATTATATTATAATAAATATAATATAATTATATTAATAATTATGTTAATGGTTGATAATAAAAATAATAATCTAATAATCAAATATTCAAATTAACACAAAAAAATGTAAGTTCGCATTAAATGGAATAAAGGTAACGAAAAAAAAAAGGCACAGCTGATGACGATGACTATGACGATGACGATGATTCTGTTGCTGTTGCTGCTGTTACTGGCACGAGAGACTACGGATTTGCGAGATGACGGAAGATCAAATGTAAGAGAGACAAAGACAGTTAAACGAAGACAGAGAGAGAAAGTTTGAGAGAGAAAAAGAAAAAGAGAGAGAGATAGAAAGAGAGAGATAAGTGCGACGGGTGCACACACATACATACACGTGCAAAATACACTGGCGTCATTGCCTCAGGGCTTAGGCGCCACTCTCTTTCCTCTTTTTCCCCCTACCCTTCTGTCCCTTTTCCTTTTTCCTTTTCTCTCTCTCTCTCTCTTTCTTTCTCTTTAGTTTTCCTACACTTCCCGTTGTATGAAAAGAGAGAGAGAGAGAAACTTAACTTTACCAGAGCAGTCGACGGATACTTAAAGTAGTGTACACTAACATAGATGAATTTTATTCATGTGTTCTTCGTTTCATTTCTTTTTACTATATTTATTATTATTTTTTGTAAAACATTTTTTATATTATTTGTAATTATTATAATAAATATTGTATAATAAAAATATTGTGTAATTATTATATAAAATATATATATATATATATATATTTATTATTTATTGCAGGTATTTTATAATATGTTTATGAAGAAGTTTTAATTAATGTTAAAAATAACATTATTTATTTCTAATAAATATTTCTAATAAAAATTAGAATTTATTTTAAATTATTTTTATTTGAAATATTTTTATAAAACATTTTTCTTATATTTTTCTATAGAATTTTCAATATATTTGTTAGCATAAATAATTTGTTATTATGTTATATATCATATGTGTTATTAGTTAATATGTATATGTATATTGAAAACAATTGTGCGTGTTTTTATATATGTATTAACTGTATTTGTATGTAAGGTTGCGTTTATCCGATCTTAGCCGAGCATTGACGAACAGTAACGGTGGTGATGGTGGTGGCGGCATTTGCTTTTTGAGAGAAAGGGGAGAGAGAGAGAGAGAGAGAGAAAGAAAGAGATTGGTAGTAGAGAGCGTTGTGGTGGGGGGTGGGAGAAAAGAGAGGGTACTCGTCAGCCCCCCCGAGAGTCTTCCTCAGTCGGTCGTCGGAGCGCGCCGTGTACGCATGTTAAATTTATTCTTTTTAAGTATAATTGTATATCACATACTTCTAGATTATTTTTTTTTTTCGATCATTTACGAATTAAGATAAATTTGATCATTGTATTTAATTATCCGTCACATTTTTCGCTTTCGTTATTTTAAAATTTTTTTTTTTTTTTTAATTTATTTTTCTTTTCGTTTGTTTAATTACACACTGACACATCCCCCATTGTCTTATTACGATATAACGATCGTGAATTTGACAAAAGTTATCAAAAGTTTTTGACTTCTCTTGCGAAATAAGAAGAAGAAAGAAGAACCACGTGCTTTCGAATAATAATAATAATAATAATAATAATAATAATAATAATTAATCGATCGGATTATTTCGTTTTGTTCTTTAACGATTTATTTAAAATCGTTATTGTTAATTTTCATCATTGTGAGATTATTTGTTCGTAAATAAGTGTCAATCATGTTGTCCTGGGACATGTCAACCATCGTTATGATAATGACGACCATCAATTTGGTTTACACTAATGGAGCTTCCATTGATTTTGATTCTACTGATTATGATGGGCTTTCGGAAAACGAAGATAAATCTTCCAATGACAAAGGTAAACTTTCTTTTTTTATTAAAGTTTTCTTTTATTATATTTAAAATTAAATTACACGAGAGTCCATATATATATATAT